CTTCAGGTGTTTATTTCGCCAAACTCTTTTATGAAGCTTTCCAAAGGCACTGTATGCCTTTGCTAACCTGTTGTCTATCTCTCCGTCAATCTTACCATCCGAGGAGATGAGGCTGCCTAGGTAATTAAACTGCTGAACTGATTTGAGCTCTGATTCACCAATGGTGATATGGCTGCCAGGCAGGCTCCCAGCCCCCGGCCAAGCCGGCCACGCCGCCGGAGGGCCACGCTGGGTGGGCTCCCCAGTGGCCGCCACGCCGGATAGGGAAAATTATAAAAATGGAAAATATACCCTGGCCACATGGCCGGCCTTTGTGTGCAGAAAGACCCTCCTGTACATGTACAGGGGGGTACGTCATCAATCAATCAGGAGGGAGGGTGACACCCCCTCCTGAATTCAAAAAATTACCTTTTAAGGTAAAATACCTGTCACCTGTTGAATATTTAACAACTTATGTAACCAAAAGGGTACAAAAAGAGCGCTGTTTTTCAAACCGCATGTGCTTTCCAGGCCATGTGACTTGGGATTGCACCCAGCGCTGCAATAAAGGATTTCTTGCTGCCATTTTCCTTGTCCTGCAAGTATTTTTTGCCATTTCATAAATCAAAAGCAAAGATTTTTCCAAAAGGGACACTGGGGTGCGACTGTGATTTCAGCTCGAGACCCACAAGCTTTATTTCACTGCCAGCTCTGCTCTCTCAGCAGCAGCTCTGCATCTTGCCATCACCGCCACGGGAAGCTGTTCCAGGTTCTCACTGTAGGATCTTCATCTTGGCTCCAGCTCTGGGACTTTCCAGCTCCAACCTCACACTCCCAATCCCAGTCCCCCAGTTACTCCTACAGCCCCACAACTCTTATCCCAACTCCAAAGTCGCAATCCCTGCCCTTTACTGATTTCAGCTCTTCCCGCCCAGTCTATGTTCCCACCCATCAATCCCTATTCCACAGCTGCACAGGGATTTCAGTGATGGTGCCACAGTCTCTATCCGAGCTTGAGACACTCTCCCAGCTCCAGAGATGCAATTCCAGCCCAATACTGATTTCAGCCCCAGTCTCCCTGTCCACATTCCCACTTTACAATCCCTATGCCACCACACAGGGATTTCAGTGACGGTGCCACATTCCCTGTCTCAGTCCTACAGTGATTTCTGCTCCAGTGCCATGGTCCTTATCCCTGCTCCACAGTCCCTTTCCGAGCTCCACTCTCCCTATCCCATAGCCAGACCCCCAAGCTTTATTTCTCTGCTAGCTCTGCTCTGCCAGCTCCCAGTAAAGCTCCTGCACGTTCCAACCCTAGCATCTTTCTTTTGTTAAAGGTCTGAGTTTTCCACCCCAGCTCTCAAGCCCACATTCCATGCCAAGCCTGACTATTTTTATCCCAGCTCCATGTCTGTAGTACTTATGCCAGGTCCATGCTCCTTAACCCAGCCTCACTCATTTTGCCCACAGCCCTACCAATTTTATGTCTCCACCACCTCTGCTGCCTGAACTGCAGGTCCTCAGCTTTCTGCTGCCTCTGCCTAAAGCTGCTTCTGGGTATCTCTGCAGCCCGGGGCTGTTGACAAGGCCACAAATCAGCTTCAGTCGTTCACTTCAATATCTCTAGGAGCTGTCCCACCCATCCCAATGGGAACAGTACTACAGCAACAAAACAATAGAATAAACAATCAAGTAGTCAAAGATGAAAATAAAAGTAAAATAAAGTGATAATAGAATGAAACACCTTTTATTACTTTTCTTCGTAACAATACTTTCAATACCAACCCCCCTGAAAGGCTGCATGCTAGTCCTTCTGGTTCGAGGGAGCATGAGCTGCTCCCCCACTGAGCACTGACCAAAGCTGGCCGGCACAGCTGCCCGGGACACCGCCTGCCCAACGCCCTGCCTCGGCAGCTGTGGGGGACCGACCCCGGCTCCCCCTGGATCGGTAGCCGAGGGGGTGCTGCCCCATGGCTCCCCACCGCTCCCTGGAGCGGCAGCTGCGAAGGTCCCACCCTGGCTCCCCGCCGCTCCTCGGCCCAGCAGCCGCGCCGATGCCGGGCCGGCTCCCCACGCTCCAGCGCCGCCCCCAATCCCGCCGCCGAACTGCCCCGAAAGCCCGCCCCCCACGCCATTTATAGCCCGCGGCCCGCACAGCCCCGCCTCCCCGTGCCAGCCCAGCCAATCCCAGCGTCCGGCAGCGTCCGGCCCCACCAATCCCCGCCCGCCCGCTCCCGCCTTGCCCGTCCCCAAGAACCCCGCTGTCCCCTCAGGCCCCGCTCCCAGGGGCTGCTCCGCTTCCGCCCGCTCCCCGCCTCCCTCCCCTTCTCCCAGGAGAACTCCGGGACGGGACGGGACCGCGGACCTCCCGCCCGCCCTTCCAACAGCGCCTGCGGGCGCCGCGGCAGCGCAAGCGCGGCTCCGCCGGATCCCGAAGCAAAGGCGCCGAGACCGGCGCCTGAGGGGAACGCGGGGGTCGAGGTGGAGAAGGGGGCGGCTCCGCGCCGCGGCTGAGCGGGCACAGCTTACGGGAAAGGGCGGGCTGCGATTGGACGGAGCGGAGAAAAGTGGGCTGGGAGTGGCAGGCCGGGATCGGACCTGCACGTCGGGAGCCAGAACCTCCCGGAGAGAGCGGCCCCTGTGCCCAAGGCAGGCCACGTGCCTGGACCGGCAGCCGCGGGAGTCCCGCCCCAGCTCACCGCCGATCTCGCCCCGGCTCACGCAGCTCCAGCGCCACTTCCACCCCCGCCGCCGAACTGCCCTAACGCACCGCCCTCCCCCTCCCCCCCGTTATTTATAGCCCGCGGCCCGCACAGCCTCGCCCCCCCGTGCCAACCCCGCTGTCCCCGCAGGCCCCGCTCCTGGAGCCCCTCCCGCCCGCTCCCCGCCTCCCTCCCCTTCTCCTGGGAGAGCTCCTGGAAGAGACGTGACCGCGGAGCTCCCACCGCCCTTCCGTGGTCCCAGCAGCGCCAGAGGGGAACGGGGGGGCGGGGCCGCGCGGAGGGGCCGCGCCGCGGCTGAGCGAGCAGACCTTCCGGGACCGCTGCCGGATTGAAAAGGCGGGCTGTGATTGGACGGCGCCGAGAAAGGCGGGCCGGGATTGGCGGGGTTTGGAGCCCGCGGGGCCGCGGCCGCGGGTAGCGGGAGGTGCTCGGGTGGTCGGGAGGAGGGACGAGGGCCGTGTCGGAGGGGCCCTTCCCGCGGGTCCGTGGCCGTCCCGGGTCCCGCTCCCGGGACCCCGTCCCCTGCCCCGCCCCTTGGTCGGGCCGCACTCCCGGGGTCCCGGCCCCAAGGCCCCTGCAGAGCCCCTCGGGGAGCCCCCCACCGGCACACGGGGCGGTTCCGGGTCGCGAAGGCGGACTGTGCGGCATGGGGGACCGGGGAGCAGCGGCGACGTGGTGGGCCGGGAGTTGGCGGCGGGGAGCGGGGAGGACGCAGAGCAGTAGTGCGTCTCTGACCGCCTCTCCCCCCGCAGCAGTTCTGCTTCTGCGGGGACTTAAATTGCCCCGACTGGGCTGAGATCAGCTCCCTGGCCGAAATCTTTTAAGTGCCGTCCCCACCCCCTATCCCCCTGCCCGCCCCAGGCCCGCTGCCCACCCTCCTTCTCCCGCACAGTCCCCGCTGATGCTGAAGTTGATCTGCGCCCAGGTTCTGCGAACCAATCTCTGGCACGCCTCTCTGCAATCCCAGCCCTGCAGTTGCTATCCCAGCCCTACAGTGATTTCAGCTCCAGCTCCACGTCTTCCCACCACCAAGTGAAGTTGCTCCTTGATCAGAGCAGGATGTTTACTTCGGGTCTAGCTCTAGAAACTGTATTCCAGCTTCAGCCCCAGAGTAGCTATCCCAGCGTATGGGGATAGGGCTGGAGGTGGAATCACTGAGGGGCTGGCATAGTGGTTCTCCAGGTGTAGTGGTGAGGAGTCAGCACTTGGGACTCACTGTGTCCTCTTTTCTTGGCAGCAGCCATCGGAGAAGACAGAAGAGGCATCGTGTAGGACAGTGAGGCCAGAGTGAGTGAACAGAGGAGTGGCCTCAGGCTGGAGAGGGGCAAGAGAAAGGCAATGTGGGCAAAGGGACCTCCCTGTTTTCACCAGGTAACCTGCAGGGTTGTAATATACTTAAGATGTATTTGCTGTGCATCCGTATGGATAGGCTGCATCATCATGGCTAGGCTTCGTGAACGAAGATTAAGGAAGGCTCTATCCACATTTATTACAGGCACGCTGGTGGCTTATGAGGCCAATACGAGATAGACATAACCGATTGCAGGATAGGCTGCAAGCACGGGGAAAAAGTCTCACCTTAGAATGGTGACATGAAATCTCTTTCTATTAACCATCATGCATTTCTTAGTATGTAAAATCTATTTAATGAAAACCAAAACATCAAACAGTGGATCGATCAAGTTGTGCCCTGGCTGCAGCAGATGCCTGACTGCACTCAGCAAATGGAAGGTGCCTCTGGGGACCAGTGAGTACTCTGGATGCTAATGCTGTCAGAGCTCAAAATCTAAGCTCTCAACAGAGAGATCTGAAGAATTTGCAGGAAAAGAAACTGCTTTCTGGTTCCTTCAGCTTCAGGAAGCCACAGTGGCAGATGGCCAAATGTGCAGTCAGTTGGCTGCAAGACCTTTAACTCATCGGACCAAAAGTTACTGCAGAAAGAAAAATAAAAATCTATCAGAGGAAGTTGTTCACGGATAAAAGTCTTCATGCATGGTTCCGTGCAAGTTTCTTTATGCTGTTCCTTCAGTTTTAACTCCATTACAAGTGATTCCAAACCTTCTGTTTCTGAAGGTCTCATTCATTCAGGTTGCTTCTCCTCTGGCATTTCATCCACATGTCCTGCATAAAGTTTCTGAAGGCTGGTTCTTCATGACTCCTCAGTCACTGGGGGAAGAAATGACAGTTCAGCACTATTTCAGTACTTGTTCTACTTGTGTTACTGAAAAAAAGCTAGAATCAGGATAGCGAAAGCAACATAGAAAGTCTATTCCATCTTCAGCTACATTACAGGGCAAAGGAAATAAGTGATCCTACCCATCAGTGGAACAGGGAAAGAATGAAGATTGAGTCTGTGAGCTATGTAAGAGAAAAATCACACTGTAACAACTTAGAAGATTGCTCCAAGACCACAGTCACAGGAAAAGGGAAGAGAGCCAGGGGCAGAAACTGTAAGGCCAAAAAGATGATGGACACATCTCTGCATCAATCAGGTTCAGAGGTCACTGCATGCCCCAAGCCTAACGAGTTCTCTGGTTTATGTGTGTTATACACCTATTAATTACTTGAATAGAAAATTTAAAATTCAACTTTCACAAAGGTTACAAAGTGATATCCCTACACTGACCATTGCAGCTGAGCTTCTGCTACAGATTCTGACACGTCAGGTGACTGAATGTTTGCTTGTTTTCTAGGCTCTCCTTACAGTCCATCCAGGTCATGAAATACAGAGGGGATTTCTTGACTAGACAGGCAGCTTTTAGACCTCATTCCCTTACCTTCATGGTCAATGTCATCAGTGTCACCCTCCCTCTCTCCTTGCTCTTCATCAAGAGTTCCTCATTGTTACTATTAGCTCAGAGGGACCCATTGCAGAAGCATCAGGTCCTTGAAGGGAACAGAAACGGCTGTACACAAACCAGCTTGCTAAAGGTAAGGTTTCTATCTACACAGAAACACAGCAATGAACACCTGCTCTAAGGGGACAGAAAGCTGCTTGTGGATCCCAGACACAGGACAGACTCCATCAGCACCTACTCGCCTCATCTAAGGAACAGTGCAGCCAACAGCAGAGCTTTCTCATATTCTGATCTGACTGTTTCGCCTTTTCTAAAGTATTTCATTATTTCTAGTAGGTCCACTGCTTTAGCTACACAGTGGGGTTTCTTCCAAACCTGTGACTGACACAAGAAGAGCTAAGTGTGACCAATTCCACAGGAACTAAAGCCCCACTCCTCTAACATGGAGCTGCTTTCACAGTTCTTGTGAGGACAAAGAAGCACTGTATTACTTCACAAGGCAAACTCTTCAGAAAACTTCTGCAGTAACCTTTATCTTCCTGGGGAGGTACCTGCCAGTGTTCTGCCCTGCACACACACGCTGCCCATGTCCTTCCACAAGTGTTCCAGCTGCTCTCTCTTTTGTTTATTTTCAGCTTCCTCCTGTAGATAAAGATTTACATGTGAATTCTGAGAACATTTAAAACATCAGAAGAGAAACCTCACGCAAACCCAGCAGTCTGTCCCCCAGTCAGAGAGCAGAAGTCACTCTCTGCAGGTCTTACATTTCAACTAAGGTTACATAGAACTTCTGACTAAGCATGGAAAGCAACCTCCAGTATGGTGGGATTCTAGGACATTTTCAGCAGCACCGGGAAGCCAAACTCTGTGTAGCTGTGCCTGCAGAGAACTGTCGTTTGGACAGCCAGAACTCAAGGTGAGCAGAGCTACTGATTTTGCACTGCAATTCAGTCTTTCTTACTGTCTAAGTCAAACTAGTACTCTTCACTTTCCCCCTTACATCTCTCACACTTTTCCCCTCACATTTTCTAGACTTTTTCTCCCCTCACTTTTCTCCTACTTTCCCTCTCATGTTCTTCACACTTTTCCCCTCACGTTTCTCAAGACTTTCCCCCTCTCGTTTTAGCACTTTCCCCTTCATGTTTCCTGCCCTTTTTCTTTCCTCAGGTTTTCTGTCCTTTTCCCTCTGATGTTGCCCACCATTTCCCCTCATGTTTCTTTCACTTTCCCCCTCTTTTTTTCACTCATGTTTCCCACCCTTTCCCCCTCATGTTTCCCAAACTTTCCCCTTTGTGTTTCTCATAATTTCCCCCTCACATTTCTCATGCTTTTTTTCTGCTTGTTTCCCACCCTTTTCCTGTCCCATTCCCTGGCCTTTTTCCCATGCATGTTCCCCACTTTTCCCCTTCATGTTTCTCACATTTTCTCCCTCACACTTCCTGCCCTTTTCCTCATCAGATTTCTTGCCTTTTTCCCCCTTGTGTTTCCCACCTTTTCCCCTCACATTTCCTGGCTTTTCTCTCCCCCCATGTTTCTTATGCTTTCCTCTCACGTTTCCTGCCTTTTTCTCCCCTCACATTTCCCTTATGTCTCCTGCCCTTTTCCTCTCACATTTCCTGCATTTTTAAATTAACTGACACAAGAGGTTACAGACTGGCTTGTGGGTTGTGTACAGAGCAAAGCTGCAATACTGCATAATGAGCCTGTTGTCTGTTAATGGCCATCTACACAGAGCGACAGAGGGGATGACAGTGACCTCTGCGCCTGTCCTGTGCTGCTCCGGGCCAGAGCCATGCCTCGCCGTGGCCAGGGGCGCCCACGAGCAGGCCGCGCAGGGTGCCGCGGGTGGCCGGGCCTGGGACGGGAGGGGCCGCGGAGCTCGCTGGAAGGCTTCGTCTCCCAGGGCCCGCAGTCCCGGCTGCCATCTTGTGCGTGGCGACAGCCCCAGCAATGCGGGTCCCATTGCAGTCTCAGGTGGCTGCAGGCGTGGATGCGCTTCCTGAAAGGTACAGGTGCTGCTTCCCGTCTCTGCAGGGAGCGTTCGCGGCCGAGGCCGCCCACCTTTGCTGCGAGCCGGGAGTTGAGACCCACCCGCCGTGGCGGCATCCGCTCGCTCTAGCCCTCCCTCCTGGCACGCCCCTCCCATCCCTACCCGTTCCTGTCCGGCAGCGTGAGGTGATTGGCCCCTCGGGCCCGGCAGCCGGAAGCGGGAGATTTGAACGTTAACGGGCTCCCGAGGCGACTGCGCTGCGGGGTCGCTGCTCCCAGCGGGGTTGAACTTGGGAGTCTCTTGGTGGCATCGCCCCGGGGACCGGGACTCGCTCGCGCCTGTCACCGGATAGCCCTTACGGAGTCCGCCTCGAACTTGCTCGTGAGAGCAGCCGCCCTCCCCAAGGCCGCAGCCGAGCCGCTTCCCGTGCCCGAAAGCGTGAGCGCGGGCTACGATCTCTCCTCTCAGGAGCTGAGAAGAGCTACCTGGCCCCTGCGGGTCGCAGAATGGCCGGAGGTGACTATGCGGAAGTTCTCAAGTACTATGAATTACACGGAACAGTCGGCACAGGTGGGCTCAGTCTGGGAATGCAAACAGGTGTATGTGACGTGTTCGCCCGCCTGAGCGTTTATCTGAGCAGAGATTAACTGTTACTGCGGAGGTTGTGGATCATATTTCCAGGGTGTATTTTGCGAGGCAGAAGTCTGGAAATGTAGCTGGAAGGTAGTGGAGTAATCACTTTTTCCCCTAACAAAGGTGCTGCATGCTGTGCATATAGGACGTGTTCCAGGGCGATTGAGGTCACAGGTGAGACAGCTTGTTGCCATGCAGAGCTTTACACATCTCTGTTTCAAATTCTA